GTGTGCTGATGCGCAGAGGTGGGGGACAACCTGGCTGCTCTGCCCGTAAGCTCAGCTTGGTGCACACGGGGTCCCCCCCAGCAGGACCCCCCTCTTCTCCCCTCTCCTCTCGCCACCATTTCGCCCTCCTGGTGCAGCCAGCAGTTCACCACAGTGACCCCCCCTACCGAAAACTGAGGTCTGGGGACTCCCAGAGCCCCCCCAGCCGCCTAACCTTTCATTAGCTGTTTCGCTGAATAATTGATCAGGGCTGCGTGGGGCTCATTAGAGGTAGAGCTGCTTCAATAACCAAGTTTGCCTTACTCAGGGTAAAAGTTTAATTTTCCAGCGCCGCGAGCTGGGAGAGGTGCCAGCCCCGCCGTCCCGCTCCCCGGCAGCTCCCGCGGGCACGGTGGAGGGCACGGCACGCCGGTACACACCGGCAGCTCTCCCACAGCTTTCCGGAGAGCCACGGGGGTGGCCGAGGATGTGGGTTGGATCCCGAAAGTGCCCGTCTGCGCCAGCCACCGGGCTGGTGTGCCGCGGCGGTGCGCGGCACGCCAGCCCTGTCGCCAAAGGGCTTCACCTGGGTGGGCACCCACTGTCCTTGCCGCGGTGCGCGAGTCCCTCTGCCAGCACCACCCGGCACGGTGTGCCAGGGCAGCCGGGAAAGGTGGCAGCAGGGTCTGGGAAGTTATTCAAATCGCCAGCATGATCAACACTCCAACTAATAGATGAAAGGGAAAGGGAAAACACAGCAGGCAGGGCAAAACCATCAGGTTTTGGCTCCCAGCGAGGAGACCAGGGGAATTCGGCACCATTCCCAAGCCATCCCTACCCTCACCGGTTCCCACTGAGCCGCTGCCACCAGGTTTCCGCTCCGGCAGGGTGCAATGCCAGCCCTGCCCTGCCTGCACAGCCCTCCTGGGCTCGGGGCTATGCCAAAGCCTCCATCCCCAGTGACCACACGCCCCAGGGGAAGGGGCCACCCCGGCCCCCCCGGGGCTGCACCCGCAGGATGCCAGGCTCTTGCTTCAAGGTTTGGCACCAGCCGGAGCAACTGGGGGCGAATCACCCCGCCTGCCCGGCCGAGGAGGGGATGGGGCTGATGCACCGAGCTCGCCAGCATCGGCCACACCGGCTGCCAGCACTGCCGTCAGGATGAAGGGAGGAATCCAGCCAATTCCCAGGAATACCCACACTGGCAGATGTGCGGGGTCTGCAGTGGGGGAAGACAGAAGGGGCGCGTCATCTTCTATGCTAATTGGCATGTTACCTGCCTTTTTAGCCTGTAATTAATGTCTACAGCTTGATTAGAGAGCCTCAGCTGGGGAAGGTCTCCCTGGAGAAAAGCTGGGGGAGAGCAGGAGCTGCGTACTCCCCCAGCGCTAAGGGGATTGGGACAATTTGCTCCAGCACCCGAGAACTGTCTCCAGCAGCACCATTAGCCCAGCTCAGCACGCCGCAGCAGTGGGATGTGCAAATCAGGGTGGTCCTGTGCAATGCAGCATGCTCCTGAGCAATGCAAGATGATCCTATGAACACAGGATGGTCCTGTGGAACGTGGGATGATCCTGTGCAGTGCAGGATGCTCCTGTGCAATACGGGATGAGCCCGTGCAATGCAGGATGCTCCTGTGCAACCTGGGACGCTCCCGTGTGATACAGGGTGGTCCTGTGCAGTGCAGGATGCTCCCATGCAATGCAGGACACCCCAGGAGATGCAGAGGCTGCTGCAAAGGGATGCGGCTGCATTTCCTGGAGGACTGCAGCTGCCCACGGGCACACTGCTCCCACGGCACCAGACACCCCAAAATCTTTGTTCTGGGGCACGGCCCAAGCTTTGCAACAGGCGATGATCGGCCTACTCATTATTTCTAATGCTCTAATTGAGCTGTCTGGCGAAGGGCAGCGCGGAGGTGGCAAAGGAGGTGGCCGGGGTGAGTCAGACCATCGGTGCCCGCTGCACCCCACGGGCACCCTGGCCGCAGCAGGTCCCCAGTTGCTCCAAGGACCCCCAACAGCTCCGGAGACCCCCAGGGCCACCCGAGGCAGCCTGGGCTGGGGGAGTTATTCACCACTTTGGGAACTTTTTGGAGCAAAATCAGCCCCCGGGGAGCGGGCGACAGCCAGTCGGTCTCCACAGCAACGGGGATTAAATATAACTTGCAGCGAGCGCGCTCCCCCCGGAGCCATCCATTTCCAGGCCGCCCCAGCGCCCTCCCCACCCCCTCCCCTTTAATTTAAAAATTAGCCGACTAAGCGGAAAGGCCGAGCCGGAGCCTCCCCAACTCGCCGTGAGCCGCTGGGAACCACCGTCACCGGCAGGGACGGGTGTATTTAACCGTCGGTCCCCGGAGAGGGACAGCAGGAATCTGTTCATCCCACCATGGGAAGGGGATTAATCACTGCCGATCCTGTGGAGGTCCCGTGGGACCTGGGGTGCACGTCCCCAGCCCCAGCATCGGCCGTGGGCATCTTGCTGGTGAGGAAGAGGATGGGGCACACCGGGCTGCTGCCACGAGCACCGGGAACGGTGACTGCTCCTTCCCCACTCCCATGAAATGGCCATTCAACCACCGGGAGCGAAGCAAATCCCCCCCCAGCCACAGCCAAACACAGGACCCGAAATTGGGGAGAGCATCTCCAAGCGTGCCAGCGGGACCCAGGGACGATGCCAGACCTGCCGGGACAGTGCTCTGCCACCAGCTCCTCTCGCAGGGAGCGTTCAGAGGAGCCGGCAAGATTTCCACGTACAAAACACGGCCGAACCCAGCGGCAGCCTTCTAAACCAGAAATATTTAAATATATCTAAATTCCTCCTCCCAAGCACGTGGGAGTTTTATCGCTTCTTAAAATTTTAATGTCTCAGTCGCAGGCAAGGGGGAGTCTCGTTTCCCTGTCTTTTGCAGCTGACTTTAAGAATGGTTAATTATAAATAAGACTGTGTGACTATTTATATGCACAAGCACGCGGAGAAGGACAGGTTTAGGACACGCTTCCCACACGGCAGGAGCCAGCCTGGAGCGGGGCTGGGGATGCTCGTGCTCCGGCCGGCCATGGGGACGGGCTGTCCTCGGGCGAGAGCATCACTCTGGGAAGGTTTGGTCACTGGAGGGCGATGGTGACGGTCACCGGTGGGACTGGGGGTCCCTGGCCAGGCTGGCCGTGTCCTACAGACCATGAGGAGCAGGCAGATGGACCGAGTGGTCCACCGGCACCCGGAGCTCAGGCAGACAGGGAACAGGCAGGGATCTGCACCTTTGGGTGCAATGGGAAAGGGCTCTGGGGCGCAAGGGGCTAGGGTTTACTCGCCAGAGAGAGCGGGGGACGAGGGGGGACTGTGGTCATTCCCAGTCACCCTGGGTCAGCGGTTTGAGCCGCGCTCCCGGAGCATCACCGGGACCTGGCGCGGTCCTTCCCACTCCCCAAAGCCCTCGGCGCTCCCCAGCCTGGGTGCCGGTGGCCCTGGGGGACGGCGAAGGGCAGGTCCGGGGTGAGCGGGCACAGGCAGCGCGGGCAGGTAGCCGTTCCTGTGCCGCACGCTGGTTTTGCCAGCACAGGCGCCGATCCCCGTCTCCAGGAACAAAGGGACGGACGAAGACTTCCAGACTCCATCCCGGCCCCCACGCTCCCCCCCAGGATAAATATTCCTTCGGTGGGAGTGGTGAGAGCTGCTGCTTACAGAAACCTCGGTGTTTTTATCCCCATATAAGATCTATTTATATGCTTATTGAATTTTTCATAACCAAGTTGTGAACGATCGGCATTCAGGGTCATCCTTTATACACGGTTATTGCCATAGAAACAGGAGTGAGATGAGCCGCCCCACATCCTCTCCCATCGAGGGATCCGGCAGCACCGGCGGAGGCTCTGCGAGCCGCCGCTCTCACCGGCAACGGGCTTCCCCATCCCGGTGCTCTGCCGGGAGGACACCCTGGCACAGGTCACTGCCTGCCCATCCCGGTGCCAGCCTAGAAGGTGGTACCTTCAAACACCCGGGGTTCACCCGATGCTCCTGCCGCGCTCTGCTCCGAGGTGAAGCCTTGGCTGAATTACACACCGCAAGTGGGATTGGTTTAGCGGGGGGAATTCTTCAGTTTTTGTAGGACCTCCCAGAACAACCGCTGTGTGCACACAGGGGTGCGCACCCTCCTCCTGGTGCACGGGCAAGCCCCTGGGGTGAAGCGCCCGCTGGCACCTCCATCAGCCGAGCCGCTCGCGCTCGTCCCCGTTCCCGGGGTCCCGCTCCCGCAGCCCCGCTCCTGGGGTTTGCTGCCTGCTCCCCAGTTTTGGTGGAGGAGAGCATCCTTCCCAGACCCCATCCCAGGAGTGGCACCAACAGCCCCCAGCAGTATCTGAACCCTCTGGTCACCTCCAATTAGTGCTCCCCAGCTCAGTTAACCCCCTCCGAGGACCACCCCCCCCGTCAAGCCAGGCACCGGCAGGGGCCCGATCCTGCACCCAGCCGGAGGTGGCGTGGGCTCACCTGCGAGCAGGAAGGTGATGAGGCAGGTTTCCTTTGGCATGAAAAGCTTCAGCCGGGAGCCGCTGAAGACGTACTCCACCACGGCCTCGGAGCGGCCGGCGCGCTGCAGGAAGGGCAGGAACTGCTTCGCCTTCTGGGTGTCCTGGGAGAGGGAGAAATGGGGGGAGGGGGGGTCAGGATGGGGGGTGCGGTGTGCCAGGGGCATCCACCGTCCCCCCTCGATGTGTGGGGACCCGCCAGCACCCCAAAGTCCCTGGGGGTGGGGGCAGAGGCCGCTCCTTGCCGTGGGCTCAGTGCCCGCATCGGCCTCGCCTGCCCCGTGCCGGCTGGGAAGGGATGCAGGATGCGGGCAAGGATCCGACCTCTCCCAGGTCGGGATGGACCGTGCACCCCACGCCTGCACCCACGGCCCCGGGGCGCAAGCTCCGACTGCTCCAGCGCAGGGACGGCTGCCCTGGGTGCAGGCAGGAGCAGGCAGGAGCAGGCAGGCCGGATCCTGCCCCATCCCTCCCCTCCATAACGGAGCAGCCCATGACTCCCCTTTCCCGGGAAACCCCCTCCGCACGCCGCCCGCTCCCTTCCCAGCAGCAAGTCGCTGCGTATAAATTCAGGCATCAATTCAGGCACGTTCGTTAATGAAAACTTAATGAGCTGCCAAGTAGCTCGGGAGGCTGGGGCTGGTGAGGGGGGTGTCGGGGTCCCCCGGCGCAGAGCAGTGCGTGCCTCCCCGCGTGCCCAGCCAGCGGCACCGCCGCAAGCATCGCCGTCTCTGCAAGGGACCGGTGCAGCACCTACGAGCCAGCAGAACCAACGCCGAGTACCGGCCCGCTGCCGCCATCGGCCAAACGGGCCAAAACCCCTCCGCATGGCACAGCTGGGGAACCGCAGACCCCAGCGGCCATCTCAGCCTACCGGTGCGGCGGCCGGCTTCGGCATCTCTGCATGCCGCCTGTCCCGGAGGCAAGAGGCTCTGTGTTGCAAGCTCGCAATTTATTTACCCAAGGAAGGAAGGCAAAAAAAAAAAAAAAAGGCAGCTCCCAAAATAAAAGGCAGCCAGGTGGCTTTTTATCTCGCTCTGGCCTTAATTTAGAAAAATGAGCTGCAGAGAGAAGGGAGCGCGCCACGGCCAGAACCAGGCACCTCTCGGTGCGACCTGGAGCCAGCTCTCCCAAGCAGGGATGGAGGCAGGAGCTGGTCCGTGGCCGGGGCCGGAGCAGGGCTTAATAACTTTTATTAAACACAACCCGCCAGCGACGGAAAGGCAGCAGCGTGGGAAGGGAAGGGGCTCAGGCGGGGAAGGCAGGCGAGCGGAGGCGGCTGTAAATCTCTGGAGCAGAGGCTGGGAGCCAGGGCGGGAGGGGGAAGGCGCTGGCATCTGCTGGCAGAGGAGACGGAGCTGCTTCCAGAGCAGGCTGTAAGATGGCAGCGGCGGAAGAGGCGAATCTCCGTGCCCCTCCGGGAATGGGGGAGCAGCGGCACAAACACCGGGAGCTGAAGGAGCAGGAGGCACGAAGCTCTGCCTGCAGCTCTGCCTGCAGCTCTGCCCACACCTCCGGCAGGTATCGGTTCGGTGCCGGCAGCACGAGCAGCTCGCAGAATGGCAAGAGCAAGGGGGCCGGTGTTTGTGCGCATCCCCATTTTAACCCGCTTCGGTGCAGCGAGGGGCTGCTCGCTTGCTCACGCGCGTGACCCAAAGCCGCCGGTCGCACGGAGCCGGCCCGTGCCGCGGTGGCCTCAGGTGCTGCCGGTCTGCAACCTGGAGCCGCTCCACGCATCAAGCGGGCGCCGATCTCGGCGGTCCCCAAGTGCCAGAACTGCCATCCTCCGGATTCGGCACGGGAAAGGACACCGTCACCTGCCACGCCGGTGCTTCAGCATCTTTCTCCCAGCACCCGGGGGATGCCGCAAGGCTCGGGGTGGCAGCATGCCCACCCAGCGGCGCGACCTCCAGCAGCACCTTCGTGCTGACGTCCCGGCTCCCTCCGCTGCAGGAACCCCCCCCGTCCAGCCACGAAGGGGTCCCAGGCAAACCTGACCCCCCCCAAACCCCAGCTGGGACATGGCTGGCAGATGAAGACCCCCCCAAATTCTGCTGCATCGCTCCCTGCCACGCTCGGTGCCGGATTGCTCACCGCCACATGCACAAAACACGCCCAGGGAGGTTTTTTTAGCAGATGTGCAGTCAAGAAGTTAATACAACACATGTAAGTGCAATCTGCACGCAAAGAAAAACCACATTACCCAACGTTAACCACTTAGGTCTAACATATGCAAATCTAAAATGGGAGCCGCTAATGAAGGCTACTAATTAGTGGTAATCTCTATACAGTCACGATTTGATTAGCTGAAGGGAAAAAAAAAAAAAAAGAGCTGCAGGAAGGAGCCCACCGTGGGGTGGGCTTCCCTGCTCCGGTCCAAAAGTGGGTGATCGGGGAACCCCCCAACTCCCCGGCTCCCCCGAGCAGGTGGTGGAGGCAGGGAGGAAGAGCTCGGTGCCGAAGATCGGCCCTGCGAGCCGGCTGCTGTCAGCATTGAAAGGAGACGGCGGCATTTGAACGTGCTGGAGAATGACCTTAAAAATCCACCGGGATTTGCACAACACAAAGCAGCTCTTCTGCAAGAGGGGCAGAGACGTGCCAGCACCCACCGGTACTGTGGAATAATAAGTGGAGAGCGGTGATTCCTGCACGGCAAGGCATGCCAGCAGGCTGGCATGGGGGGGACAGATTTCCACTTGGTCCCCGACATCCCTCTTAGGGCAGGTTTATTTGGGTATTTGGGCATCAAGGCAAAGGGGAGCCGTGCTGCTGGGAGGATGCTCTGGGTTGCTTTGTGCCTTTCTTGCTGCCTTGCCTGCCAAAGCGCCCTTGCTCCTGGGTGTGGGCAATGCCAAATCCACCACGCAGGTGGGCACATGGGTCTCCTGCTCACCATGGGTGCCAGGAAAAGCTGGATGTGATTCAGGCACTGGGGGTCTGACCCCTTGGACCCTCCCCAAAATGGGCACGGTCTCGCAGCCACCACCAGGGCTGACCCAGACCCCACAGGGTGTTTGGTGGCCGCCCCGTGGCGCATGGCAAGGGGACGGTGCCCGCTGAAACAGAGACCGTGGGAGCAGTGAGAGGTCAGGCTCAGACGCCGGTCTGCAGCGTTTAATGCTGGGGATACAGGACCCCCAAGTGCATCCTTTACCCCCACCGAGGCGTTTCCCCTCCTGCCGTCCTCCTCTGACCAGAGCAGCGGCACAAGCTGCAGCACCAACGCTCACCGTGTGCATCCCATGTCTGCCGCGATGGAGTCGGTCTTGTCCCTGTCCCTGTCCCCGTGCAGACCTCGCAGAAGCTCCTGCATCTCTTCCCAGCAGCACCGAGCGCCACGCTGCAGCCCCATCCCGAGCCCAGCCGGTTGGGTTCCCCCAGGATGGCACGTGCCCGGCATCACCCGCTGAGGGGCCGGGGCCTGTGGTGCCGAGCAGCCGGCGGGATGGGGAAGGAGCGCGGTGAGCAGATGGTGACGGAGGGGATGGCTGTGCCGGCACCGGGAGCGATTTCTGGGAGTGAATTTTGGGGAGTGCTCGGAGCGGCTCTGGCTCCCCGGCACAGGTCTGAGCCGCCGTGCCAGCCCAGCACACGTGTGTGTGACCACACGGCCGGTGGCCTTAGGGACAGGTGGCTGCTGGCGCAGAGAGCTCGCAGCCGCCCAGGTAAGTCGGCAGTGCCGCTGCGTCCAGCTTTTGGCTTTGTGCTGAAGGACACGCACAGACATCCTTCACTGCTGGGGCCGGCTCCCGCTCCTGCTCCAGGGCTTCTGCGGTGGGAGGAACGAGCCGAGCATCCCACGCCGCAGTCCCCAGCTCTGGGAGGGATCCAGCGGGTGCCTCGGGGACAGCCGGACACGGGTGCTGAGGATCGGAGGGGACGGAGACGAGGAGCTCCCGGACCTGCTTCCCCTGGATCTGCTCTCCAGGGCCGGCAACCCCACGCTCCTCTGGCTCGGCATGGGACAGCAAAGTCCCAACTGCCCCAGGAGCAGCCTCGATGGGCAAACAGCCCCCAACCCGCACCGATCCCGCCGCAGGAGCCGGCCCGGCGGCCTCCGGAGAGGCCATGGCACCGGGAGCGCGGCAGAGCGCCGGCTCCACGGTGGGTGCGTGCAGGAGCGGGTGCCAGGTCGGGATACTCCCAGCTTGCCCGGTGTATCCCGTCGAGGGGACGTCATCGGACATGCCTGCACAGGGACACAGTGACAGAGGCTCTCGGATCTGCTGGATGCGGGGGAGCGCTCGCCGGCGGCTGGGAGGCTTCACCGGATAAATTCAGACAGGGAAGAGAAGTGGGGGATCTCCACTGAGCTGGCGTCTCCCCTTCCCCATCCTGGCTGTGCCGAGCCTTGGCTCCCACCTTCTGCGTTGGCAGGATTTGTCCCCTGGCACCGAGCTGGCAGCTCAGGCTGCTCTCACTGTCCCTGGGGAGAAAGAGGCATTTCCCACCCGCCCTACTTCATCTGACCACCTCGGGGGATGCAACCCCCCCAGGCACCCCCATCTCGTGCCTTTTTGGGGCTCCCCCCTTCGCAACAGACCGGGGCGTCCCATCGGGGTGCTGCTGGGTCTGCTCCCTGCCTGCACCTCCTGCCCAGGTGGTATCACCCCCGTTGCTATTATTTTAACATTGCCAGTGTTTAATTAGCTGGGAATTGAAGAAAAATTATGCATTAATACAGCAAGGAAAAAAAAAAATCATCCTAACTCCACTTTTATGTGAAGCTCTGCCAATTATGCAAAATTATTCAAGGACTTTTCACAAGGACAGGAGGCTTTCCGGCGGCCGGGCTGCCGTGCGTTTGCCTGTGCTCTCGTGCCGGAGAGCACGCTAATGGGAGAAGCGAGCTAACGTGGATTTGTATTGCTGCTGCACTTCCCTCTTTGCTTTTTCTCTATTTTTGGGGGGCGGATTTTTCTTGCCTGCAGCACCGCAGGTCTATGAGAAGGGAGGCTGCTTGCCTTTGCAGCTTCCAGCAGGCAGGGAATGCCTTCCTGCAGGCAGGGCGAGGATGGGGATGGAACTGGGGAGAGCTTGGGGTGTTGGAGAGGAGCAGGATGCTCCTGGGACACCAGGGCAGCAGCCATCGGATGGCCTGAACCATGGGAAAGTGGCATTTCCCAGCAGGAGCCAGGGCGGGAGGACAGGAGGCTGCGCTGGAGCTGGGAAAAGCGGGCTGAATCCTGTGTTTGAGCTAATTCCCTGACTTCTGCATCCCGGTCGCCAAGCCAGCTGGGATGCTTGGGGACGAGAAAGCAGGGTAAGGCAAAGCTGGGGACTGGCAGCTCGACTGGGTGGGAACAGAGTTGATGACTCAGGGACAAGGACACAGTGATGGTGCTGTGCCGGTGGACAGCACAGGTTGACATCCATGAGGGATGCGCCAAAGCCACCCCATGGGATGCACCAGCACGGGTCAGGGTCGGGGACCGAGGTGTGGGTGGCACCAAGGGTCCTGTGTCCGCCCTGTCACTGCAATCTAAAAGGCAAAACAGCCCCAAAGCCCGTGTTTTCCCAACGCCGTTTCCCCATGGAGTGCCACGGCAAGGGGAGATGCCACGCTGGGGAAGGCTGACGGGCACAGCCGGGCAAAATCGCAGGAGCATCGGGTGCGGAAGATCCCAGGGACGGGGACATCTCCAGCAGCCCAGGGACCCAGGGCAATGCCACACGAGCCACTCCATCGCCGGTGCCCCCTTCCCAGAGCGACATGGAGCTCAGCAGCAATGCCGCTTGCTCTCTGCCGGGCAAACCGGTGCCGCAGCTGGCAGCGTGCAGGGGGACTGAGCCCTCCGCCTCGGATGCTGCCCAGCTGCGGAGCGGGAGAGCCGCCGTTCCTCCTCCTGCCATTCCTCGTGCCCGGCCCCAGCTGAAACAGCTGCATGGGTCCTGTGCAATGGCACAGCACCGGTCCTGGACACCCCGCCACAGCACCCGGGGCCGATGGTGCCTTGACAGGCACCCACATCCCGGGGCACCAGGGCTGAGCGCTGCTGTTCCACGCATTGCACTAAGCGGGTTTGGCAGCAGCACGGGGGCTGCGGGGCCGTGGCTGGGAGGGCACAGGTGGACACCATGCCATGCCACACACAGCCACCTCTGCCCGGTGGCTCACTGCCCCTGCATCGCCGGCAAGTCCTGCTCTTGGGGTCACCGGCACCCCAATTTCCCCAGCCCTGCCTGGCTCATGCCTCCCGTCTCGGCACAGCACCGGAGGGACTCCAGTTTGGTGCTGGGGAGCCAGGACCGATGGCTGGGAGAAAGAGCAGAGCCCGGGGAATCATGACGCACACCCTCCCGCCGTGCCGAATGCCATGGGACCCAGGGAATGGGTGCTTGCCGATCTTGGCGCGTGCCCGGGCAGCGGGAGGAGCACGCTGATGCTAATTCACATGGAATTATTTTGGCAGTGGTAAAGCACCCACTGTCAGCTCGGCGCACGCCCGCATTCATCATGCCGCACAACTGCTGACACGCGGCTAACTAAGGCCGGGATCAATTTACAGAAAACTATTAAAGATTAAAAAAGATTAACAAATCTTCATAAAAGCCGTGATGTATTAGCCTAATTTTGTTTGTGGGGGCCCTCCCTCTCCCATCCGGCTCCAACCCTTTTGCTCGCTGCCCTGATTGAGTTACGGGGGCTCCTAACGATCCCGGCGGCAGCACGGCCCCGGCGCGAGGACCCTGCCGGGAGCGGGGCTGGGGGGGCTCGGCGCAGGGACGTCCTTGCATCCCACCGCCGCTGGTTCGTCTCACTCTTTGCAGACAATTGAACCAGCATGTGTTTTTTAAAAGCCTAAAAGGCAGCTGAGCCCCAGGGAGCCGGCAGCTCGGCCGCAGGGGTGTCCCCGGGAGTGGGTGCCGGCACGGGCAGGGACCCCACGAGGACGAGAAATCTCCATCTTGTACAAGCAGCGGACACCACTGCAGACCCCAGCAATTAAAAACAGGGCAGGAGGCTTGTGCAGGCAGGAATTGGGGTGCCCAGGACAGAGCTCTGTCCCCGCAAGGATGTGAAGGACCTTCTCGAGAGCTGGGGCATCAAACCCAGGACGGAGGCACAGACACAGCCCCTCTCTGCTGGCTTATGAACCTATCCGGCACGGCTGCGTGAGCCCTGCATGGCGAAACTCTGTGGCACCATGGGGTCCCCTTCATCACCGATGCTTGGGGTGACGCCAGCACGAGGCGAGACCTCCCCACTGCCACCCCAGAGAAGAGAAACCCCCAGGAGAAATCTCATTTCACCCCTTTGGGGTGCACCACGGGTGGCAGACAGCTTCTGCAGGGGCACTTGGGGGACCACCAGCCCCAGAGGAGGAGGAGGACGGGCTGACATACTCCCTCATGCCATCCCCAGCCAGATGTCCCGGCTCCTCCGGCAGAGCCGGCAGGCAGCGGCCGTGCCTGCAGAATTCCCACACATCCCATCTGCAATGAGCGGAACCACGGGCCGTGCGGGAGCACCGGCACCCAGCCCCTCTCCAGCTCTGCTCCACACACCCCATCCCGGCAAACAACCTCGCACGTGGCATAGCCGGCGCAGCCGCAACCCGCGCCGCAAGGTCCTTACCCCAGAGATGTCGGCCACTCGGTGAATCGGCACCTCCTTCTTGCTGTGCAGCCCTTTGCCGTTCTTGATAGCCCTGCAAAAGAGAGGTGGCACGAGCCGTCAGCGCCCGCTGCGGCGGCTGGAAGGGCCGGCGTTGCCCCCCGCGCCCACCCAGGGAGAGACCGGCCGGCTCGTTAGCCTGCTAATCCCAATTACCGGCCTTCGGCGGCTCACCTGAGCTCAGCACATACCTGATCAGAGGGACCACTTGTCCCCGTTACCAAATAAAATTGCTTTGTTCCCCGCACAAAGGGAGGGATCAACAGGAAGGCGAGTGCCCCGGCAAGATGCAAAATTTAATACCTGTTTCTTTCAGCACTTAATCACATGAAGCATTTTAAATGCAAAATACGTGGCGAAGGCTCCAATTCTCATGGAAATAAGTTCCTTCCAGGTTAAAATAATATAGAGACGATAAGGAGCCTGAGCGAAGCAATACCACACATGGAAGGCAATTCATGGCTGAAAAATGAGTGGGTGCCCCAGACCTGATGCGGACCCGGTTCTGCAGCACGGTGCCGAGCCAGCTCGGATGCCGGCTGCCGTGCCGGCTGTACCCAGGGAGGAGGGTGCAGCACCGGCATGGGAGCAACCTCTGGACGTGACTGTGGAGGGGATTAGTGACACCGCTCGCCGGCAGAGCCCTGGGACCGCGGCGCTGCCCATCCTCAATCCCCGGCACCCGCAGCCAAGTGGCACGGGGTGAATCGGGGTGCACGCTGCCCCGGCATCGGGCTTCTCGCCTCGGTGGCTGGACAGCAAGGGCAGCCGCACCGGCAACGTGGCGGCAGATTTATTTGGTTTTCATGCAGTTCACAGCCAGGCTGGCTTATTGCCGGGTGCAGGAGGGAGCGGAGGCAGCGCTACCCTCAGCCAAGCTGCCTGCGCGGCAAAGGCCGGCAACGGCGGGTGAAAGGGCACCGCACATTCATTAGAGCTCCTTCCCCTGACAGGTTTGTCCTTTTCCAGCTCCAAAGGCCAAGCTTATTTTCCAGGTGTTACCGGCACAGAGCAGAAGCGAGCAGGGAGCTGCTGCCCGCTGCCGCCCTGCCTGTGCCGTGCCAAGGGTGACCGTGCTTGGCACAGCCGGGGCGAGCTCCCAAGGCTGCTCGTGAGCCCACTGCTCTTTGAGTTGGGGTTTTTTTTTAGCCTGTCAGCAGCATGGTGGTGAATCCAGCAGCCCAAGCGGGGCTGGAAACCAAGTGCCTGCCCCGCATCTCCCAGAGGATGCTGCTCCGCCGGCTCGGGCTTGCCAGTGCCCGCAGCCGGGCTAGGGGGAGACTTCGGCTCATCCCAAAGGATGCCCGGAGCCGGGGACTTCCCCAGCAAAGCCAGCCCTGCTTTATCAGCGTTGGTCCCCTGTTCCCAAGTGCCGAAGGACGTCTCTCTGCAACAGGAGGGTGGCCAGCAGGACTTCAACCTCCTCTCTCCACCTTTCGTCCCCATGCTACGAGACACTCCTGTAATTCAAGTGACAAGCTGCTGCGCCCCGCAGTCCCCCAAATTCACCCCTTCCCCACGGGCAGGACCCAGGCTGCTGGTCCTCAGGCTCCTGCAGCAGGCTGGAAATGAAAGCTCCTCATTTTTCAAGCCTAACAGCTGCTCCCAGGCAAGAGGCATGAATTTGTTCAGAGTGGACCATGATGATAATAAAAATACAAGGGGAAAAATTCAAAGCCCCTACCGAGGCTTTGTACAGCAATCAATTTGCTGAGCTGGATCATTCGAGGAGCTGCCTGGAAGAAGCCAACCTGTTAAATCAGCAAAAGGATTTCTTCTTTCTCCCTCACCCTCCTTTGAGATGCCCCTCCCCGCTCAACACTGCACCCAGGGATAAGTGGCTTGGCCAGAAATAGCTTTTTTTTTCAGGAAAACAGCTCTTTCCCCAGGTTCAGAAGCAAGACAAAGTTAAACAAGTGCTGTAACACCCGGCAGGCTGGAAGCCAGAGCAAGGGCTGCCAGGGATGCTCATCCTTGCACCGTGTCGGTAGGAAAAGGCACCTTGCCCTGCAAGGCTGGGGCAGGCAGGGATGCTGGCAGAGCCCAGGGCTGAAGCAGGCAGCCTTGCCCACAGCAGACTGGCGGGCGGCACGGCATCGGTGTGTGGTCCTGGCGCAGCCCCTTGCTGGAAAGAGAGGGCATACAGCCGCTCCAGGAAAACCTGGTGGGATGGGAAAACTAATCAGCCCCTTTCTAAAATACCCCACGGAGCAGGCACTGACAGCTCGGTCCGAGGAGATCTGACTCTGGCCTTTGCTGCAGAGCTGGGCAGGTTAAAGGGATTTTGCAAACCCCAAGCAGCGATCACCCAAACCACTCCAAGCCCCTCTTCACCCAGAGCTCCAGGTCCTGCACGCCAATCTTGTCCCAAATCTCCCGCTCCCCTTGGGAGCCTGTTTCTGCCCCAGCATCTCCCCGGAGCCGCCAGCTCCTCTGCCTGGAGGGATGGAGGCAGCCAGCCCCGAGGCGGCACAACCACCAAACTGGGGTGTGCCATGGCGAACGGCATGGACGAGCTGCCTCTGCCACCGGCACGACCCCTTCCATCATGGGCAAAGGGCAGCAGCTCTTAGGGCCGAACAGCAGCCCCGTGCCTGGCAGCGAGCAGGGACATCCAAGCATCCCAATATTCGGAACATCAGAGCTCAACCTCCCACCCCAAGCCGGGAGCGCGGCTGCAGGCTCGATCCGCCACATCCAGCCCTGGGTATCCCAGTACCCGGCTGGAGGATCGCCCACACCGGAGCGCTCCGAGATGCTGATTTAATGCCAGGCACATCCGCTTTCTAAAAGGCACATCTCCGTCGCTCGGCAATGAGGCCCCAAGCAATCTGCCGGCCGACGATCCCACGCCACGCGGGGCTGGGAGGGGGGAAAGGGAGCTCGAGAGCCCATTTATCAACCTTCCCCCTCAAAAGCGAGAGGCTCGCAGCAAAACTGAGCACAGTCTTGCACGGCGGGGCTGGCAGAAACCACGCCGCAACCCCCTCAAAGCTGCTCTCCCCGGCTGTCGGCACAGCGCCGTCAGCTGCTGCCAAAGTTGCTGCCGAGGAGGAGCCGAAATCCCACCGCCCCGCTGGGCCCAGCCGTGCCACCGCCTCCGGTGCAGCCGGAGCCGGGCCAGCGCCCGCTGGGGGCACGAGAACGGCGGCGGTGACGGATGGCGGGGGGAACCGCTGGGGGGGTGGCAGCTCAGCCGGAGGGGAGCCGAGCCAGGAGAGGAAAGGGGCACCCATTGCCCTTGCCCAGGCAGCCATCGGGGAGGACGGGCTGAGGGACGAGGACGCGGGGACACACGGGGTGCAGCCAGCTCCGCGCTTGCCGGTGGGCTTCTCCCCGCAGAGCAGCAAGGCTCGGGCACAGCTCTCCGTGAGGAGACGAGGGGCAGGGACCCAGCCCTGGTGCAGGGGGCACGGGGCTGAATGATGTGATCAACTCCTGCAGGGAGCTGGATCGTGCATGCCTGGGCCGTGCACAGCTGGAATGTGCACAGCTGGATCACATGTGCCTGGGCCATGCATGCCTGGACCGTGCACAGCTGGACTGTGCATGCCTGCGCTGTGCACGCCTGGACTGTGCACAGCTGGATCACACATGTGCCTGGGCCATGCACGCCTGGACTGTACACAGCTGGATCACATGTGCCTGGGCTGTGCACGCCTGGACTGTGCACAGCTGCACTGTGCATGCCTGCACTGTGCACACCTGGACTGTGCACAGCTGGATCACATGTGCCTGGGCTGTGCACGCCTGGACTGTGCACAGCTGGATCACATGTGCCTGGGCTGTGCATGCCTGGACTGTGCACAGCTGGATCACACGTGCCTGGGTTGTGCATGCCTGGACTGTGCATGCCTGGACTGTGCACAGCTGGATCACATGTGCCTGGGCCATGCATGCCTGGACCGTGCACAGCTGGACTGTGCATGCCTGCGCTGTGCACGCCTGGACTGTGCACAGCTGGACTGTGCACAGCTGGATCACACATGTGCCTGGGCCATGCACGCCTGGACTGTACACAGCTGGATCACATGTGCCTGGACCATGCACAGCTGGACTGTGCAGGCCCGGACCATGCAATGTCAACTGTGCACATCTGGACCACGCACAGCTGGACCGCACACCCCAGGAGAGCGACTCGGCAAGGAGGGTGCTGCCCGCGGAAGGCAACGTTTCGCAATGCCCTCAGCGACGTACAAGCGCCGGCCGGCTGCGGGCACCGACACAACCTGCGCGGGTGCATCCCTGCCTGCACGTGCGGCGCGGGCAGGCAGCAGAGCTGGCAGGGCTGCCCGGTCAGGCAGAAACCGCAGCCCTTCCCGCTCCTCCCAGCTGGCAGAGGAGAAGGCAGCATCAGCGTTTCTGCCGCCTCCGCCGAGGACGCGGCGCGGGGACGCATCCACACGCATTTTTCTCACCGCGATAACCTCAACCTAATTACAGGAGGCCAGAATGTGTCTCGAGTCCTTCGGATCGGCTCAGACGTCACTGGGTTTAAATGCAATTACTTCTCCGGCAGACAGGCCGGGGCAGGAAGGCTGCGGCAGCCTTCTGCCGGGCTCACCGCCCTGAGAAGCGGAGCGGGGCCCTTTGAACCCCAATGCGATGTACGCAACGGGCCGTGAGATCCCAACCGACCTCCCGGGCGTTTTGCAAATGTTATCTGCCTTCGGCTGCCTCCCGGCAGCTCCGGCATTAAGATGGAGAACCCCCCGCGCGGCGCGATGTTTCCCACTGACTCACGGCGCGCCTGGCCCTCCGCCAGCGCCGATGCCGAGCCCGTCTGCGGCACCGGCGCAGCGCCGGCAGCGTGGAGGAGATCGGGCAGGGGGTGGGGGTGGCACAGGCAGCCGGGTCCTGTTTGGGGATGATTTCGGCTGTTGGGGCGTTAGGGTGAGGCGGGGGCTGGAGATCTCGCGGAGCCAGGACTGCCTGCGGAGGGCAAAGGATGCTCGCCCTGGCCAGGAGGGATGCGGGGCGGGAGGATGACCCCGAGCAGCGGGGATGGACGAATGGACCGGGACACCGTGGGGATGCGGTGCACATCTGCACCTCCCTGCGAGACACCCCGAAAGGCAGCGCGGGCACCCCACGGCCAGGGGAGCGGCAGCACCCCGGCACGGCACTCACCGAGCCTCCGCGGCCAAGAGCTCGTCGTAGTGTGAGGATCTTTGGTCGTCGTCTTGCCGGTAGCGGATGACGGTGGCCAGGCCCTTGCTCACCAACGCCTCGGCGATGTTGCTGCAAGAGAGAAGAGCGGGGGGGCTCAGCACCGGCTTGGGGGAGCGGAGGGGTCCATCTGTCCCACCACCCACCATAGCCGGACCCCGTGCATCGCACCGGACCCTGGCACCAGAGGGGGTCAGACCCGCCGGGGGGTGGAAGAGGAGACCCCCACCCCGTTTCACGCCGCTGGCCAAGGGAAGGTGCTTGGAGCAACGGGTCACAATTAACGGGGACTTCTGGGCACGGCCGAGGGGTCCCTGCGTGAGTGTGCTGGAGCCGGGCCACCACAGTGGGGGATCTCCCAGCAGCACCCCAAAACCTCTGTACCACCCCCCAAAACCAGAGGGGTCAGCGCCCCCAGGCCACGGGAACCTCCTCCTCAATTTTACCTTCCTATTATGTTTTTATCCCTGCCATCCCCTCATCGGAGAGGGGAGGTCGGCACTGGCCGGGCTCGGGGGACGGCTGCCAACGGGCGCCGCGTGCCGAGGCAGCGTGGTAAATTGGCTGCCATTACACTCTGCTGCTTTAAACAAATTCATAAATTCTACTTCGCTGAGCGCATCTGTAATTCTCCTCCAATTACACAGGCAGGGCATGGACCGCTAATTCACTACTTAAAAAAAAAAGCATATATATATATGTGTGTATGTGTAGGGGGGGCCTGATCCATTCGCAAGCCCCGGGAGCACCCCCTGCCCTGGCGAGGGGGAAGGGCAGAGCCATCACCGGGAGCTGAAAATAGGTCTCGCCTCGGAGCAGGGGGAAAAAAAAGGATTTGTAAACGAGGAAATAAGCTGCAGCAGGAGGCAGCTGCAGAGGTAGCGCTTGAAATGCCAAGCAACCAGGAATAAGCACCTATAGCTATTTTGGGCACGAACAGGAGGCTGTGCCGGGGGGAGGCGAGCGCAGGGCTGGTGGCACCCGCGGCGTCCCAGCGGCTCCCCGCCACCGCCGTCTGCCCCGACGGGGGATGTTAAGGTTTGGGGCTGGACAGAACTGGGTGCGAGGCTCCGTCCCTGGGTCCCCAGCACCTCGGGAGCTGGTGGGGGGCACAGCCTGATGGCAAAAGGTGACCCTGTTAGGGATGAGCTGTGGGGACGCCAGCCCTGGTCCCCTGTGGACTAAGGGGGTGACTCGGAGGCGAGAGGCAGCAGGACCCCAACGATGCGCAAATCTGCAAGAGACGCCCGGTGGGCTCCTGCGCCGAAGGGTGCTGGCAGGTCCAGACCTCTCCAGCAGCTCAGTGCCAGCCCAGCTCTGCCGGTGAGGACAATGTGACCTGGCTCCCCTGTGCTGGGATGAGCAGCTGGGCTCCCGCCAGGACGGAGTTTGCAGCCCCCCCGGCCATCTGCGGCCAAGCCGAAGCGGCAAGGAGCTGCAGGACACGGGGGGCAGCCGCAGCCCATCTCAACCACCCTCCCCACTCGCCATCCTGCCTCCGCGCTGTCCCATGGCCCCGAGCATCACTCGGTGCACGAATGGGGACGCGCGTCACCAGGAGACTTTTGCCTAACACGCACTGGGGGAGATGCCCGAGTGAACCTGAGGCCAGAGACTCTGGTGATGGGCACGCTGGGGAGAGCTGCCCACCCGGTCCCTGCTTAGTGGGTGCTGTGCCCAGAAATGCAGCCTCCATCCCAAATCTGTGTCAGGGAGCTGCAGCTGCACCCCTGGAACAGCATGATCTGCAGCACGTCCCCAGCCTGGGGACCCACCACGGGGACAAGCCCCAGATAGCAATGACCACCAGCCCTGGGCAGGACGGCTCCTTCCCGTACGGTGACATCCCACCCAAGCACGGGCAGGCAGCCTGGGGCACCCCTTCATGTCCCATGTCCCCACCGCGGGGCTCGGGAGCAGGCAGCCCTAATGGGATTTCCACGCTCATGCAAAGCCTGGCTGGATCTGGGCTGGGGGGTCCCATCAGGCCCCCCAGTTTGCAGCCTCCAGAGGAAGAGACACCCAGCTCTGCACCCTCCACCGGCCCAGCAGCTCCATCCCCACCCATCGCCCCAACCCCATTTTGGGGAAGGGAGCAAGTGGGGTGGAGGGGCAGGATCTGGGAAGAGCAAAGGAGATTAAAACCCGACATGGAAAGCATCAGGAAACAACTGTGCTAGCAAGTGCTCCGTCTGCTCGCTAAACGGACAATTTTATTCTGCCCCCAGCACTCGTGAAGTGTTGTAATCTTGTTGCCACCTCTGTTTGATGGCTTCATTTATTCAGCAATATCATGGTTATGGCTTTTTATAAGACAAGCAAAATTGCCAGCGTTTGCTCCCACCGCGCTGCTGGGTCCTAAAGGAGCTGGGACGGGCTGGGGCTGCACACAGGGAGGGTGGCCATGTTCCCCCCGAGTTTTTCAGTCCCCAACAGGCTCTGCAAGAAGGGATGGAGGCACCCGGCGCAACCACCGATTTGGACCCAAAAGGTGCCGGTCCCAGCTGCTGCCACCACCGAGCATCAGCCACGGTGCAGGAGGTGCCCAGCCGGGGGGACCCCTCCTCGGTGCCAGCATCGCCTCCCCCAGGGGCTGCTCCCACCAAGCCTCCGCTCCTGCTCTGCCGCAGCCTGGCTCCAATTAAGGTTTCAGAGATGATGTTCCTGTGGCTGGTGAGGACTGAGAGCAAACGGGAGGTGCCGGGTAGCCACAGGGCTTGTGGGAATGCCGCAGGGCTTGCGGGAATGCCGCAGTGCTCGGCTGCCTCAGTTTCCCTGCTCTGAGCAGCCGTGCTGGGACCCTGCATGGCTCCAGCACTGGGCACCAGCCGTTGCCCCAGCGAATGCTTCTGCTCCACTGCAGAGCCCTGTGCCCTCTGCGAAGGAGAATTAGCCTAATGAGGGGTTATCTAACCCTGTGTGGTTAGCAGGGGCTAACCCTCCCAGGCACCCCTGCCTGCGGGAATGCCAAACCCGGAGCGAGCCATCAGCTCCCCGGCACGATGCGGTGCTTGCAGCAGTCCCAAGCGGGCACAGCCCGCAGCCAGCTGGGCTGGAACCCCATCAGGGCACGGGGGATACCAGGGAGACCCCAGGACCTGCCTCCATCCTCGTTAACCTGAGAGCCCAAACGGGTCTGGCAGGGTCAGAGGTGCCTTGCAGGGTGATGGGGAGGAGAGAAGGCGCCTGCACCCCAGCGGTGAGGCGAGGGCACCCTGCCTGCACCCTGCTGCGCTCTGCAGCGAGGATGGGGGAGGACAGACCCCACGGGACCTGTCCCCCCAAGGGCCATCAGTCCCCTCCCCAATGCACCCCCCCAGCCCAGAGCCCTGCATCCCGCTCCCCATCCCAGTGGCATCCCCCTCTCCACCCCAGCCGTCCATGCCCACACCTGCCCCATCCCCCAGCGCTTTAATCCCCTCCGCTCAGAGCGGATAAGCAGCTATTCCTGGCACTAGACTCCAGAAGTATCCAATATGCATGAAATCAAAGTTTTCATCATTTCCATCGGTCAAAGGGCAGCAAGCATTAAATCCCAGAATACCGGGATTAATGAAGGGATCATTAAAAACCTAATGTTAAACCACCTCTGCAACCAGAGCTCTGCGTGAGCCTGCCATATATCACAGCCTGATAAGGAGGAAACAAATCCTAATTTCGGAGCAGGTTAGCTGAGCCTCTGATCAGGGACAGCCATGCCCGCCATGAGTGGCAGAGCCACAGGGCTCTGCCCCTTCATCCACCCCTCACCCTCCTCACTGGGGCAGACAGGAGCGTATCGGGGCAATGCCGATGGGACTTTATTTGCCAAGTTTGGCTAAATTCTGCAAGGATGAGGGTTTTAAGCAGCATTATGTAAACCTGTGCAATTTCTAATCAAACCTGCCACCCCAAAGCAAACGGGCTGGGACGGCCAGGCCGTGGCAGGCACCGATGCCTGCCGCCACCCCGGGGTTTGCCTGCCGCAGAGGTCTCCCGCATCCACTGCATCCGCGCCCCGGCAGCACGGCAGTCTTTCCCCAGCACGGACCAGCCATCGCGAGGCGGGTTGAATCGGTTGCTCCGCATCTCTCCGAACCCTCGCGGGCTGCTCTGTGAGCCTCTCCTGGCACGGGAGCCGGCTGGCACGGTGCTCGTGTCCCCCTGACACGCCGAGCCCCGCTCTCCGAAGGATGCCAGCTCCTTCTCGGCGCATGCACAAGCAGCTCGGCTCCAGCACGCGCCAGCGAGATAAGAGAGGGAGCTTCTCCTCCTCCCCTGGGTTTGACAGGCGGTCGGTGCCAGCTGCCTGCAGTTCCCTGGCAGCCGTGCAGCACCGGCGAGGCGATCTTCCCACCGCCCCGGTCTGCACCCAGCGGCAGTGAAACCACCCGTCGGCTTGCTCTGATCCGGCCAAGGAGCTCGCCCCGAGCAAACGTGCAACAACCGGGCTGGACGGAGCCGAGGAGGAGGCTGGAAAGGTGCTAGGTCTGCTCGGCCGCTGCGGGCAGGGGGAAAGAGCCAGTCTCCGAAGAGGGGAACGGCTCAGCCCGGACCCGGCTGCAGCCTGCAACAGCCACCAGTGCTTTGGGGAGAGGAGAGAGCCCCGAGGAGGACGGGGAGCTCCCCGCGGCCCTTCCAACCCGGCAGCACTTCAGCCCCATCCACCGAGGCCGTGCCGTCCTCAGCAGCTTCTGCAGCAACAGCACCGCGGGACGGTGCTTTGCCGGTGCTGAGCACAACATCCTTCAACCCCACGGTGCAACCGGGAGACCCAGCTCTGGTGCTGGTTCGCACCGTCTCAACACCGGTGCCCGCAGAAGGCACTTCGGTCCCAAGGGACCCCCAGTGTACCAGGAGCAAATCCTTCCCCGCACACCGCAGCGTCCGGCCGCCTCCTGCACCATCCTGCCCACAGGAGCGACAGCACCGGGGAGAAACCTCCTCCCCGGCACTGACCGTATTGCACCGAAGCCGGGGGGGTGTCAGGGACGGCAGCACACGGTTGCACCGCTGAAGGGTGCGAGTGGCTTAACTCCAAGTCCCCAAGCTTGCAGCCGCAAGCTCCCTGCCCAGCCGGGTCCCTGCCAGCG